GAAGCTTCCACCCAGCATAGACATGATGAGCTAGTTCAGGACTGGGGAGGGGTCATGAGCTCCAGACCCTGCCTGCCCTCTCTGAATGGGGAGCGAGCGCACATAGGGGCACAGCTGGACGAGGGGACCAGGGGAAGGGGTGGGGGGTGCTCAGCGTCATTTTAGCTGAAGGAAGAATGGACCGAGGGACTCAGATGATGATGGGGAGGGTGCATGCTGTGTCTGGGGGCTGGATCCCCTAAAATAGGAGCCTGGAGATGAACACCGATGGGTACGGGGAGGGCCTGGGGGCTGAGAGCAGGCACCTGCGTGGGGAGGCGTGTGAAGACCCCGCCTCCAGCAGTGGTAGAAATTACAGGGGGAGGGTTTGGGTTCTGAGCAAGGAGAAACCCAGGGCCTGGGCTGCTTGGGGAGATCGGAGCGGACCCTCCCTCCCCATTGCCCATCCGAGGTCACGGCACACGTGGGGGCAGCAAGGAAGGGGCTGCTGGCTCTGCCCTCGTCACCCCCAGTGCTGGGCACAGCTGCGCCCGCTCGTCCAGCGCCTCGCAGGGGGACTGCCAGGTAAATCCCAGACAGGCTGAGAGCAAGCACGAAGGTCTGGGTGTTTGTGCACACCTGCGGGGCGGGACAAGCAGCCCTGCCCCTGTGCGGCGTGCCCGCCACGCCTGGCACCAGCATTCACCCCCGTGGCCCCCCGAACGCGTCTGTCTCCCTGTTCCTGTGGCGTGAGCGGGTATCCCGAGGCGGGGTTGTAGGTTCAGCTTCTCTCATCCGTAAAGGAAAGAGACCAGCCGCCCTCCGGGTAGTAGATCAAAACATCACACCTGCCGTCTGCCGTCTGCCCTCAGTCTGGCCTCAGAAAACAAGTAACCCCACTTCAGGATCCACTTCAGAGTCCCCTGGCTTTGGGGTCTCCCCCGTTGTGAGGCCTCGGGAGGGGGAAGGAGGAGGGACGGGAGCACAGCCTTTGTCTCAAACCGGCTGGACAGCTAACATTGCCCTGTGGATGCGGCCACAGCCGGCCTGATGTCATGGGCTATGTCGCCCAGGCCTGGCAGGGTGCTGGCGGCAGAAGGCAGAGGGGCCTCCCGAGACCGCGGTGTGCACGGGGGTAGAGTGACAGACTCACAGTGCATGGTCCTGCTCCCTCCTGGTGCTGGCTGCACGTCCAGTTGCAGGTGGCCCGGAGTCACGGCATTGTCCCCAAGGCCCTGGGTGCTTAGAAACTGCCCTGTCCTCCCCGTGTCCTCCATGGGCCCCCAGACCGGGACCACGGTCTTCTGAGCCCGCTGTCCACCGTCGGCGGGGCTTGAGCCCAGTCGGTCTGGTCCTGCCACTTGCTGCCCAGGTGACCTGGGCTGGGCTCATTGGTCGGGCTCTTCGTTGCTGAGTTCCCTCATCTGTGAGGGACCGGTGGTGGTGCCCCGCTGGGCTGTGGCCAGGACCGACGGGGCAGTCCCAGGAGAGATGTCAGTGGGGAGCAGCCGCAGGCAGGTGTGGCCCCATCCTCTCTGTGAGGACGTGTCTCCTGTGTCCACCCCGCCAAGAGCCCAGGAAGCCGGCAGCAGCAGAGGACCCCCACCTGCCGCTGTGACCCTGTCTCCCCACAACCGCACGTCCGTGTGGGTGCGATAGTGTCCCCCAGTTCATGTCCACCTGGAACCTCGGGGAGTGTGGTACTTGGAGACAGCACCTGTGCAGAGTGATCAAGGCAAGTTTTGAGATGAGGTCGCCTGGATTCGGTGGGCCCTAATCCAATGACCGCTGTCCTTTTGAGAGGGTAATTTGGACACAGACACCCTCGGCAGAAGGCCACGTGACGACGACGCGGAGATTCGTGTGCTGCATCTACAAGCCGAGGACTGTCAGAGGATGACCAGCAGCCACCGGACCCTGGGAGAGGCACGGAAGGGACCCTCCCTCGGGGCCGCCAGACCGAGAGTCTGTGGTGCCTTGTCACAGCGGCCCTAGGACACTGACACACTCTCCTGCTGACCGCGTTTTCACATTGGTGCCTGGAAGATGTTTCCTCTTTTGTGACAAAGGCCATTCCTCTCTGGAGACCCACCTCCCTGCCGCCCCCCGGGGCCATCCCGGCCCCAAATCTCGAAAGTGTGGCTCTATGCGGTCCCCTGCGGGCCTGGCTCCTTCGGGGCCGTGGTGTGGCCTCTTCCTCTGGTGTTTTGGCGTGGGTCCACCACGAGGGACACGGCGATGGAGGACATTATCCTTTTACCAGAGGCAGGGTGGACAGGACTGTGGACCCCTCCTTCACGTACCTGTCTGGGCTTTTATGGGAAGTACCTGCAGCTGCACACTCTGCCATCCTTTCTTTCCCCCTGCGACTCGGGGACAACGAGGTGACTCAGAAATCGTCTCCCAGGACCTGGGGTGTCCAGGGTGATCCATGGTCTTGAAAGAAATTGGTAGTAAGGTCGATGGTAAGGAGAGTATTTCGTTTTCCAGCACGTTTAATGAGGGTTACTATTTAACGCTCTTTCTGGTCGAGTCATTTTGTCCCTGAATGAAGATGTCTGTCCCCTTTCTGTGCTGTGCCCTCCTGAGCTGCCTGCGGGAGGGTCCGGGCCCCGGAGCCCCCACCCCACCCCACCCAGAGGTAACCCACAGTAACCCAGAGCACCGAGGCAGTCTGGGCTTCGGGCTTAAAATCAGCATGACCTTCACGTCTTGGGCCAGAACAGATCCACCTGTGGCTGAAGATTAAAAGCATGTTTCATAACAGTTGCCACCAGGAAATAAACAGCATCCTATATCCTCTATTATTATAAGGGGCCTTTGCAAAAGAGAGAAGAAAGACAGACCCAGGAGAAAAATAGCTCACATGCAGAAACAGAGTCTCTGGTGTTGTTTGTGCAAATGTCAGTCTTGGGGTGAAAGGGGTGCCACTGGAAGCCTTCACCCTGCCTGGCCCCCGCCTTCCACGAGTGTTTATCCAGCAGCTCCGAGTGCCAAGAACTGCACCAGACGAGGCAAATTGGGCAGAAACAAGACCTACAGGTTCTCAGTCCTCACAGACTCGGGGGTGGAGGGGGCGGGGAGGACAGATATGAGCAAATAAGAATGACATCGGGCTGTGTGGGATTAAAGCAGGGGTGCGGCTGAGCAGGGGGAGCGGTGCAGAAGGCCCCTCCGATGAGGGCCATTCAGCTGAGACCCGGACGGCCAAGGGACAGGCCTCAGGGTGGTCAGTGCTGCAGGCAGGAAGCGAGGTGTGCAGAGGCCCTGGGTCAGGGAGAGGGAGCAGGGGTGACACGGGGTGTCATGTCACGTAGGACCGTAAGATGGGGTGAGTGGTACGCGGCTTATTCTGGGTGCCCTTGGGGGCCACAAGGGAGTGGCGTGATGGGGTCGACGTTCTAGGATGACGGCCGGGGCTGCGTGCTGGAGGGAAACAGGCAGCCGCGGGTCCAGCCCACGTGTGAGCGGAGGGGCATCAGCGCCCGCCTCGACCGGGCATGGGGGGGCGGCGCCTCTGTGGGGCGTCTGCCACGGGAGCGTGGCCTTTTTCTTTTGCCTTTGTTTATTTTTCCTCATTACCTACTGGTGGTCGCCACAGGCCCTTTGCACGGGAGCTGCAGACGCGGTCTGCGCTGTCAGCCGTCTGGGCTGCAGACGGAGCAGCCCTCGGCTCGCGGGCCTCTGGGCTCGATGCCAGCCTTTGCGTGCCCTTCCCACAGCCAGGTGGTACAGGTATTGTCATTTTCTAAATTCGGCCCTGCCAGCTCATCGTGAGGACTAGGTGTGACAGTAGTAGTATGTGCTCGGTGCCCGACGCAGAAGCCGTGGTGTTGCTGGGCTGGGAGCTGGGCCTCCCTCCCGCCAGCCTGTGTTCTCGGGCATGAAGCTTCCTGTATGTTTTTCTCACTCGTCCAGTGGATGCTGCTGGTTTTCTCAGACTCTCTCGGAACCTCAGATTTGCCGTGACGGTCACGCAGGCACCGAGGGTGTTGTGGTTTCCGGAGTGTTTATTTCTCTGCCGTTTGGACAGGTTATACGCCGTGAGAGGGCTGGGGCGGGGGCTCCACAGGCTGGGGGCTCACAGGCTTGCACAGATGGCTCTGCGCCCCATGGACACTGGGCGGACACAGGCAGGGGGAGGGGCGGGGACGGATCAGAGCTGTGGGGACACTAAATCAGAGCAGAGGCAGAAGGATGCGACTTGGCCAGGTTTTCTAGGGTCCCTTGGCACACTCGAGGCAGGGTTGGGAGGCAGGTGACCACCCCCTGGGTGGGGGTGGCCGTGCCTCTCAGGGTGTCAGGGAGGCTGAAGGGGTGGCTCCGTCGCCATCGTGGGGAGTCCCTGGCACCAGCCCCGATAGCTCCTTCGATGCCGGGTTCAGGACTGATTGTGCGTTCGACTCTGTAACCAAAATACTGCACCCTTTTCCGTCTCAAACCCCGAGTGCCGCCTTCCGTGACCGTTTGCTTGTGCTGGCTGAGGCACAGCGTCACCACCTGGTGTGTGTCTCGCTGAGGCCGCATCCGCTCAGGTCTCCCCAGCCGGGTACGTAGAGGTACGTGGGGTGCAGCTACGGGAAGAGAAACCTTCCACACAGCGTTGGCCAAGGCCGTGCTGGGTGGGACCATCCTGGACCACCCTGGACCCTGGGGGTCTGAGCTGGGCCAGGGGGGTGGGTGGGGTTGAGGTGGGGTCTCCTGCTGGCCGGAGCAGGGGCAGAGGTGTAAAGCGACTCAGTGTCCTCACCTGTCTGGAGCAAAGCG